GGCTCGCCAGGGCCCCGGTGCGTGTCAGGGCTGGGACAGACATGTTAAGAGCACGTACCTTGTCCACGGTTTGAGGTGGTCTTTATCATATTCAGGAAGAGCATATTCAGGAAGAGCATAAAACTCTGCGTTTCATAACAAACAACCATCAGTCATGTAACTTTTAATTAAACATGTAATTAAATATTATGTTGCTGCATGCCATCGTTATGCTGCTCACATCACAAAGACATTAAAAAAATTTGACTTAGTGTTACTTAGTTACTATCAATATTTGCAATTCTATAGACCTTATTTCTCAGAACTTTCTTGCACCTCTCCCATAAAAACAATAACAACAACAATAATAACTATTAATTTTTTTTTTAAAATTCTCTGTATTTATGCATTTAAAAACACTCAAGATAATATTTACTCCATGGCTGGTGATGGAAAGGAGGCAGGCAATCAAAACTCCTTTAATTTGAGATTGTGACAAAGGCTGAGATTCAAATTTCTTTGCTAGTAGCTTGTGAAAGAAGAAATGAAGTAATTAATTCTGAACAAAGAATAGTGACAGAAATTGCAGAGGTTCTAAAATACTCTAATCCTCTTTTGGGAAGCAGTTCCTGTTTATGTCTGTGCAGTGATCAAAGCTAGAATGGCTCCTCTTTGTCATCTGCAGTTTTTGCAGACATCCAAAGTGTCTTTTGCTCAGAATACAGATGCCTTTAGAAGTCTTAAGAGATGAGGAGCCCTGTCAGTCAAACTCTCTGCAGATCCCCACAAGAGGGGAAGGCATTACTCTGTTGGAAAGCACTAAACTAAGATAATTACCATAATTTAAGTCTTTCCTTCCGAGAAATATGATATTCCAGTATAGTTGATAAACAAGGAACTGAGGGAGGAGAAAACAGATATTCATTGATAGTGACAGCAAAATACTTTTTTAAAATATGGTTGATTTATATATAAAAATATTGTTGGTTATGTATGGTGATGTGTGTGAGGCTGATATCCTCCAGCCGTGCATTAGGTGGCACTATCAGATTTTTCAATCCCGTTCGTTTAATTTAGCAACTCTTCTTGTATTGCAGGAAGTAGAATCTAAGCGTATGAAACTGGCTGGTGAGGTGGTTTGTGTAGTGTCTCTAACGCAGGCTCCTCCAAGGAAACAGGCTTTGCCTAGAAGTTCTTCACCGTGCAGTATGGAAAACAGCCACTGGATGGAGCGTTTGATCAAAGAGCCAGAAAGACACACTTCGGGTAGCTGTAACAGTACGGAGAAGTGTATTGTTGAAGCAACGGAGAAATCAACGAAGAATTGGCAAATACCAGGACTACCAGAGTTACCCGTTGTGAAATCTTTAGGAACGCCTGTAAATTCAACCTTTGAACATCCCCCCAAAAAAGTCAGCAAAATTATACCAATTTTCAAAGGAAAGTTGATGCAAATGAATGGGAAGACTACAAATCAAATGGAGGGGAAGAGAAGAGAAAATGCTAAAAGACATTCACCAACAAGAATTCTGGGTGTTTCATCTTCTATGCTGAGTATGTGCAAGTCCAGCATGACTCAGGTTTACAAACCCATTCAAAATATGCCTGTCAAAAATCCTACTCAGAGCAGCACCTTTCAGGTAACAAATGCAAGAACGTACACAAAGCACACTACACCCATATTTCAATGGAGAGCAGAGTCTGCTGGACAAAGGACTAACTCTGCTTTTTCTGACAACTCAACATCAGGTGGGAATTCAAGTGCAGTCCCTCACAAAAAGGCAAGTTCTCCTTTCTTGCTTAAGAACATTGGGCCAGTGCTTCAGAAAACAAACATCAGCCTGAGTCTGAATACAAATCCATCTCCTAACTCCAGTGCACAAAGGGGAAAACAGTTTGTGAGTCAAAATACCACCCACGTTCTTGAGAACCAACACCAGTCAAAGAAAGTACCTTTGCAGATTTGCAAATTAGACAATGAAATGACAAATTTTGGGTTATCACAGCAACAAACAAAGAGATCAAATGAGGGAGCAGGGTTAAATATTCATGAATCTGTCTTAAATGATACAACGTGCATCTCAAAAACTGAGGAAAGTAAAGCAGCGTGCCATTCTAAGGACTGCATTGCTAGGACAGCCAGTCGTCTCTCCAACTCTAACTTTGAACAGGTATGATAAATAACAGGGCTCATTCTCACTGGTTCTCACAAATTCAGTATCTTCTAAAACAACATACGCAATAAAGAGCACAACTTTCATCATGTTTAACATCATTCTTAATAAGTTTTCTAAAATTCCTACCGTATAAGTTCGTGTTTTCAGCCACTGCTGCTTTTTTTTTCTGAAAGGGAAGATGATTTTCTATGTTGTCTGAGACATACTCTTGTTCTATTTGGGACTTTTAAGGTAGGATAATTAACTTTCCTTTCTTTAAGACAGTTTGTCAGTTTATCAAGATTTGTGTGAGGTTAACGTGGTGAAATTTTCAGTGTTCAGTCCATTGTCATATAAAACCATATTAATGAACAGCTCCTGGAAGGAATCTCAAACCTCATCAGTTGTCATGCTGCCTGTGGTATAAGACACTGTCCTGTTAGACAAACATGGAGGTTTTGCAAATACAAGTTTAACTACCATGTCACTAAAAGCACAAGTTGCAACAGCAAAAATTCTTACTGGGCATAAGGAGAAAAAAAAATATTCAGAGTGGCAGTGGTTAAATACTGGATCAAGTTGCAGAGAGGTTGTAGGGTTGTCACCCTTTCAGATTCCTAAAACTTGGCTGAATGGGGCCCATAGCAATGTGATATAACTTTAGAGTTAGCTCTGTTGTGAATAAAAGTTATTATTAGGTTACTGCTAGAGGTACTTGACAGCCTAAATTTTCTATGATTCTGTCTGCATTTCAATAAAATAAATAGCTGAGCAGATTTTAAATGAGGCTGATATCCAATAGACTGGGCACATGACTGAAATATGTTTTGCTTATCACTTTTTTCACCTATAAAAAGTAATTTGGGAGGTTATTTCAACTTTGTTATGAGGGCACATTTTGAAAAAGTAGGTGATTTTGAGAAGTAAAAAGATGCTGTTTGGTGTTTTTTTTTTTTTTTTTGCTAATGAGTGTGTAAACTTCTACACTTTCAGATGATTACAGGGAGTGAGTATCTGTCATGTCAAACACTGACCTCAGAACCAAATTCCTTGGTCAAGGAGAGCAACATGGAAGCATCTGTAAAGAAAGCTTGTGCCAGAAGACAGGTAAAAATACCCCACACGTACATCACTTCATACAGTCTACAAGGACTTGAATTAAGAGATAAAAAGTACAAGTTTTGGGTGTTTTTTTTTTTTGTTTTGTTTTCATTTTAGCATGTTCCAGTTAAAACAGGAAAACAAGAAATGTTATTAAGCTTGCTCTGGGTAAAATTAACCTTAACCATTGATTTTGTTACTGTTACTTCAAGCATGCATTTAAAATGTTTGTCTCCTGCACAAGATACTGCTAAAATGAAAACATTTAATGATTTCACTTCATGTCTATATGTTTCTGAAGCAGATTTGCTGATTCTACAGAAAGCAGGTTAATCCTGCCCAATATAACTATGGGCTTTCTCAGTGGCTCTGCAAGTGTCTTATATTAAGTGTTTGAATACTGCAACGTTCTTTACAAATTAGTTCCAAAAGATTAATTATAATTCATTATGACTTTTTTAAAGTTGTATTTTCTTATTTATTTAATATATTTGTTATTGTATTACTAGATGGAGTCAGCAGCAGCAACTAGTACATTCCTAATACGGATTTTTTCTTTTAATGCTTTCTAGATGCTGCTCTAATGACAGTAGTGTGTACTTTTATATTCCTTTTCAAAACCACTTTTTCATCATTCTTAAATATTGCTTTTACCTACCATTGGACTAGGAACAACTTCTAGGAACTTCTACAAACTTCTGTTCCTAAAGATCAGTTCTTTAAAATTCAGTTGTATCTTCTCCTTACAACCACATTCTCTATGTTTTTACTACCCACAAATAAGCCCCATTAGAAGGAACAGGTCTTCTGTGCCCAAAACAATTGTATTTTCTTACATGGCTACATTTGTGTTATTTCTGGTAAGAGCCAACAGAAAGTGCTGTGCAATAGCTCTGCAGAGTAAGCCAGGAGGAAACGCTGCACACCCTGAACTCTCTCTTTACCCAGCTTCCCTTGGCTTTCAAATTTTGTCTCAGGTGTGACCATCTGAGGCCTCATTGCCCATGCTTGATCTGAGGTGCCTTTGCCTAGTCACACATTCCAACATGTAAGCTTCCTTGGCAACATGCTCATTAGCTGCTGATTAAGAACTCAAGAGTGTGTATCCATAATTCACATTCTTCTGCTTAATTTGTATTTGTTAATAGTAATTTTTAGCTGTCATCTTTCTGGTTTGCTATACTTTTAAAGTCAAATACAGGGCAATTTTGTAATTGAAAGAGCACAGTCTGTGCAGCTCAGAAAGGGCCAGCAGAGCAGCCTCAGGGGCCTGCTGTGGGAACAGGCTCATACCCCAGAGCTCAGGCTGCAGCAGGGGGGAGAGGAGCTGGTGTGGGAAACTCCAGCCCAGCTGCTCTGGGGTGGCCCCGTCCAACTGCAGCTGGGAGAGGCTCTTCCACAGGGCCACAACTGAGTCACGGGCCCCAGGGCCAGCACTCCAGTGCTACAGCAGTAGTCAGGAGTCAGCCTCACAAAGAGGAAAAGAACAGCAAGTAAAAGTAACCGTGGCTATAACAAGTACTGAAGGGGGACTGCCACCATGACATGAATTAATTGCTGGAGCCCTTTGCCTGCCACTGGAAATGGCTCAGCCACACTAGGGCTGGTGAGCACGGAGCTGGCTCAGGGAGACCGGGCAAGCAGAGAGCTTGTAGCTGGACTGGCAGCACTGCTGGCATGGGGAAGGAGCACTGTCCTGCCCCAGGCCTGAGTCACAAGTGCCCCTGTGCCATTCCCCTCCCTCCAGGCAGGCTGTGAGTAGCACAGGGACCATCCTGAGCCCTGCAAGCTGCTTTTGGGAAGTGGCAGGGGGCAGCACGGTCTCCCTGGCCGGCCCGCT